AGGGGGGGGGGGGGGGGGGGGAAGAACGCAGAGAGGAAAAACGGGGACGGGCTGTAGAAGCCAACTTTTATTCAATCAAATTCATCAATCCAATTACAATGTAAAATAGGTTTAAATACTGAAAACACTGCAAACTAAAAACCTAAAAGATAGGGCCAAACTCATTACACAAGTCCATAAAAATAAAATAACCCAAGTCCAACTAAGAAGTAAAAGTCCAACTAAAATAATTAAATGTCGTCCAACTAAAGTAATAAAACTGGGATGTCCTCATCAATTCTCCCAAGGTGGGAGAGAAACTCGACCCTGTCGAATGGCTATATCACTATAGGCTTCCGTCAATCTCCCAACCATAAGTTGAGTGGTTGGGCAAGCTTCTTCCGGCGTCTGTAGAAATGTGAAAGTGGCGGTCTGAACCTGGTGTCCTCACCAACTCCCCTCGGGTGGACGGGAGGCGATCTGGGCCAAGGAAGATCTTGCTGACTCCGATAAAACTCCAATAAATCTGGATCCAATTGCTGTAGTGCCTCATTGGAGATCCATGCACAGTCAGAATCTGGTCGACCAACCCAACGAACAAGGAAGAGCTGAATCTCTCCATCATTAGTGAACACAATTTCTTCATCTAAAATAGCATCAAATTTTTCTTTGTGTACTGGAAGAGGTGGTAGTGGGTTAGAAGGGGCCAAAAAATCAGGATCAAGGTCCACAAAAAGAGGTGACAAAGGGTCATCTGAGAGAATGAAATGACCTTTATAAGCTACAAGGTCCTCAACATTGAAAGTAGAGTGGTAACCAAGGTGTGGTGGAATGTCAACAATATATGCATTTAGACCAACCTGCTTTAAAATTTTAAAAGGACCAGCACTACGAACTTGCAATTTGGAGGCGGGTCTATGTAGACGCCGCTTTGGCCTAATGCGAACCATAACATAATCCCCAATGTTAAACTCAATATGTCGTTTGTGCAAATCAGTTTGGAGTTTATATTTTGCATTACTAGCTTCAAGTTGTTTATTGATCTCAATATACAAGTCAGAAGATGTTGTGCAAATGCTTCGGCTGATACTGACACTCTAGCCTGTGGGGACCTAGGGATGAGATCTAACGGTTTCCTAGGCTTGTACCCATGAACGGCTTCAAATGGACTCATACCTAATGAACGATTTATGGAGTTATTATACGCAATTTTAGCTACAGGAAGGATCAAATCTCAATTTCGAAGGTTTTCCCGGACCAGACAACGTAATAGGTTACCAAGACTTCGATTAACTACTTCAGTTTGACCGTCAATCTAAGGGTGGTAGGCTGTAGAAAATTTCAATTTGGTACCCATCTTATGCCACAAAGTTCTCCAAAAATGCCTAGTGAAACGAACGTCCCTATCAGACACGATGGTTTTGGGAAGCCCATACAATTTGACAATTTTATTAAAGAATAATATGGCAACCTTGGACGCATCCGACGTCTTGCTACAGGGGATAAAATGAGCCATCTTTGAGAAGCGATCGACAACCACAAAAATAGAATCATGCTTCTTTGGGGTACGTGGAAGTCCTAACACAAAATTCATACTAACATCTTGCCAAGGACAATTGGGGACCGGGAGAGGGGTGTATAGACCTGTGTTCTGCTTCTTCTGCTTACTCAATTGACAAGCGTTACAAGTACTAACAATCTTAGCCACGTCTTTCTTCAAGCTAGGCCAATAGAATTGACATTCAACTTCCTCTATAGTCTTATCACGTCCAAAATGACCGGCTAACCCTCCCGCATGAATTTCCCACACAATGAAATCTCGCACTGAAGTTCGAGGGATGCACAATTTATTGGCTCTAAAGAGATAACCCTCCTCAAGTCGGAAGCCATCTGTGGCGCCTGATTGTCCCTTCTGTAAATTAAGAAAGATATCTTTAAAATCGGGACATGCTTCGTAATCCTCCTTAAGTCTTTCAAAACCGATGACCTTGACACTCATGATCGACAAAAGAGAGACACGACAACTTAATGCGTCTGCTGCTTGATTTTCCATGCCCTTCTTGTGTTTTAAAACAAATGAATAGGCTTGCAAATGTTCGACCCAACGACCGTGCCTAGAACTTATTCTTTTCTGGGAGTTGAGGTAACGGAGGGCCTCGTGATCCGAATAAAGGACAAATTCCTGGGGCAACAAATAGTGGCGCCAATAGCACAAAGCCTGGACCACTGCATACAGTTCCTTATCATAAGTTGAATATCGCTGTTTAGCTTCATTTAGCTTCTCACTGAAATAGGCAACCGGGTGACGATCTTGACTCAAGACTCCGCCTATACCTACCCCAGAGGCATCACATTCAACTTCAAAGACTTTGGAAAAGCTGGGAAGGTGCATAATAGGAGCCTTCGTCATTCGCTTCTTGACTAACTTAAAGGCCTTAGCCGCTTCTTGTGTCCAACGAAACTCTCCTTTCTTCATGCATTCCGTGATAGGCGCCATAATAGTGCTAAACCCCTTAATAGAGCGACGGTAAAATGTAGCTAAGCGATGAAAGCTTTTGACGTCATGAATAGCATTAGGCTCAGGCCAATCAATAATCGCCTGAACCTCAGCAGGATCAGCAGATACTCCTATCGAGGAGACAATGAAACCCAAAAAAATGACTGTATTGGTGAAGAAAGAGCACTTCTTGACGTTAGCATATAAATTAGTTGCACGAAAGGTAGAGTAGACTTGTGTGAGGTGGTCAAGGTGTTGCTCCTTAGACTTACTATAGATGAGGATATCATCAAAGTAGACAACACGAAACTTTCCCATGAAAGGTCGGAGAGTTTGTGTCATTACCCGCATAAAGGTACTTGGCACATTACTTAGCCCAAAAGGCATGACTAGCCATTCATAAAGACCATCTTTCGTTTTAAACGCGGTCTTCCACTCATCACCTGGGCGAATTCGAATCTGATGGTATCCACTCTTTAGATCAATCTTCGAAAAGATCGTGGCATCAACCATCATGTCTAACATATCGTCAAGTCTAGGAATGGGAAAATGATACTTCCCCGTAATCCTATTGAACGCGCGACTATCCATACACATCCTCCAAGAACCATCCTTCTTGGGCGTCAATAGGGCGGGGACAGCACACGGGCTTAAACTCTCACGAATGAATCCTTTGTGAAGGAGGTCATCCACTTGCCTTTAAAGTTCAGCGTGCTTTGTAGGATTCACCTATAATAAGGCAAATTTGGGAGGGATGCCCCTGGGACGAAATCTATGGCATGTTGAATATCCCTTAGTGGAGGTAGATGATCAGGTAGGTCCTCCGGAAAGACGTCTCGAAACTCTTGGAGGACCGACAGGACTTCAACAGGGCTCTCTATTGTGGAGTGTGATGGGACCTCCATGACCACCAAAGTGAACACAACTGAGTCGCCAACAAGTGTACGCTCAAATTCCATAGGACTAATGATGTGCAATCCCTTCCGTTCCACACTTTTCTTCGTTTCCAGTGGGCCAATAGGCTTCGGAGGCAGTGGGTTAAGGCGAGTCTTCTTTCCATTAAACACTAAGGAGCAGGAATTGGATTGACCATAGATGGTTACATCTAGGTCAAATAACCAAGGTCGTCCCAAGATGATGTGCCCGACATCCATTGAAATGACGTCACACATTATATGGTCCTTATACTCGAGAAACTGGATATGGACTAAACAACGCTCCTTGACAGCTATGGAGGAGATATCAACCCAAGAGACGCTGTATGGCTGAGGGTGAGGAACAGACTTCAACCCTAGACGGGATACAGTAGCCATTGAAACTGCATTAATGCAGCTGCCACTATCCACGATAGCTTTATAGCCCTTATTATTAATCTTGATGCAAGTGTGGAAGATGGCATGAGGATGCCAATCATCGGCATCCCTAGGCTGGGTAAGAGTACAATGGACGACACCGACTCTAGGCATATGTGGGATAAGGGGACTAGCCTGGATACAATCCAAGAAGGTATCTTCACTATCCTCCAAGTCATCAAACTCTTCTAACTTAGGCTCATAAACCTGATCCTCTAGTGGCTCGTCAACTATACCTTCACGCTCTTCCAAAACTAGGGCTCTGCTAGGACACTTAGAAGCAATGTGACCAAAACCCTTACAGTTGAAGCATTGCAAAGGAGACGACGTTCTTGAAACCTCAGAACCTCTACCTTTACTATCCGATGTAGGGGTAGTATTAGAAGGAGGAGGTCCTAGAATAGACTTAGGGGATGAGTGGATGCAGAAGAGGTTGCAGTGCGGGAGTCACTACGACTTCTGTACGGTGTCCTAGTCACTAACTCGTAATCCCGAACAAAAGAATAGGCGTGGTTAAGAGTGGTGACACCTCTAAAAACAAGCTCACGTCTAAGATCATTCCGTAGGCCTTGCCTAAACCTACTCAAGTTCATGGCTTCATGCTCAACGACCTGACATCTCATTCGAAACTCGTCAAACTGAGCAACATATTCGATTACAGGTCGACTGCCTTGCGTAAGTACGTTCCATTGATCCAACAAGTTGCCCCTATAAGATTGAGGTAAATATTTTTCTTCAAGGCGGCGCTTCATTTCATCCCAGTTTCCAATAGGGGGAGCATGACGCCTCTCTAGGAGGTCCTCAACACTTTTCCAAAACAGTTGAGCTGTGCCAGTTAATTTCAAACTGGCAAATTGTACCCTCCAATCTTCAGGGACCCCATACCAGGCAAAGAAGCGATCCGTATCTCTAACCCATTGATTGAATACACTAGGATCTAGACAACCATCAAAAGTAGGGGCATCTAACTTAATATTTCGAAAGAGGCGCTCCTCGTGGCGAGGGGGAGATAGTGTACCATGACGGTGATATTCTCGCTCGCGTCCACGAGCTTGATTTCCCTCCCTACGATCATGTCTAGCATGGTATCGACCACTTTGTGGATGACGATGAGGTCTATTAATGGAAGCGTCAGAATTTTCAGCTTCAGTTGAGTATTGGGTTGGGTCAAGAGTGTTTACCCTAATGGTTAGGGCTCTATTCTCCTCACGAGTAGCGGCTAACTCAGTTTGGACAACCGTTAATTGATTTTGTAATTGTGCTAACTGTCGGGTGATAGCTTCAATGTGGGAAGGGTCCATGGCAAGGGTACTAGCACTAGACGCAGTAACTCGACCACTACACAATTGCATACACAGTAACACTAGCGACGTGAGGTGCGCTATAGAGATAAAAAAAACAACGAGTGCTAAAAGTAGATTCGCAATCTGAAATTTTATTATTATTATTATTATTGTTTGTTAACTTAAAAAAATGGGATTACGTATGGTTCGATCGCAAGCTAATAATACTAATGCAAATAAAATAAAAGCAAAAGGTACAAATGATCGACTCAGTCACGTGTGGTAAACGAGAAAGCAATGGGAGTTAGTTCGTGAATTTCAATCAATTAGATTTAAGGCAAAAATTATCAAAGAAAAATTATCAAAGGGCTAGCACACAGAGAATTAACTTATGCAATTCTAAAACAAAGAAATAGTGTCAACTAAATAGATAGGAGCAGGAACTCCCTGAGTTCAGTTGGCCTGAGTCGTCCCAGCGTCGAATGTCTCCACTTTCTGAACTACTAAGCTCTGAAATGCCAAGATAGAAAATTCTGTGTTCTTCGAAATGCGGTACTGATTAATCAACTAAAATAAACCTGTAAAATAATGTCAGAAAATTCTAAAAATTCTCGATTTTTTTTGCTCTTTTCTTTTCTTTTTTTTTTAAATAATACAAAATCAGAACAACAAAATAATAAATGAGCCCATTTCACAAATTTTGGGCCTAAATCAAATTCAAAATCTCAATCAAGCCCAAGCCCAAGCAATAACTAATAAAGCCAACCCGATTGAAATCAAGCCCAAACCCAAGTGATAACAAATAAACCAGCCCGATTGAAATCAAGCCCAAACCCAATTGATAACTAATAAACCAACCCGATTAACTAATAAACCAACCGATTGAAGAGTATATATCCACAGCACGGCCTCTGGATCCACTGTCTGGTGGTGCCGTGGGAGTCGCGGTGTTGTGGAGTCGGCGTCTTGGGAGGTGGTCGATGAAGGAGAGTCTCAATTACTTAGGTCGCCGATTTACTAGCAGTCGACGAGGTCCGAATTCATCCTGGAATTTGTGTGTTCAGAGGTCCCAATTCGTGGGCTGTCAAGCTCGAACAAGTGATGGTTTCGTTTCTAGTTGCTGTAATTTTCGGCAGCTTATTTCAATTTCTGGTGTACTATGATGGTTTGGTTCGATTTCTGGTTTACCATCTTGCTGGCGGTTACGGTTCAGTGCATCGAAGGAGGCAGAGTTGTTGACTGTGTTTTGTATGCGGTGGGGTTGACGGCGAGAGTTGATTTCAGTAGGGTATTGCAGTGGAGTAGGGGAATTTGGGGGTGGTGGGTTCTGCAGCAAGGTTATTATGGGTTTAATGAGTATTGGGCAACCGGAAATTTTTTTTTTTGTTGTAGTGAAAATTCTCAAGTTTAGCTCTGATTCCAATTTGATGTAGGATGAATAAGAAAGAAAAAAGAAGGAGAAGAGAAGAAGGGAACCTGGGGGGGGGGAAGGGGGGAAGAACGCAGAGAGGAAAAACGGGGAGGGGCTGTAGAAGCCAACTTTTATTCAATCAAATTCATCAATCCAATTACAATGTAAAATATGTTTAAATACTGAAAACACTACAAATCTAAAAACCTTAAAGATAGGGCCAAGCCCATTAAACAAGTCCATAAAAATAAAATAACCCAAATCCAACTAAAAAGTAAAAGTCCAACTAAAATAATTAAATGTCGTCCAACTAAAGTAATAAAATTGGGATGTCCTCGTCACATCTCTTGTATGTACTTGGATACTTTGTTAGTGGTTCAGGTTGTTAGGTTATTAGCAAAGCCTTTCTCTCTTAAGGACATTGATTTGCATTCTTATTTTCTTGATGTTTAAGTAATCCCTAACGAACGGGGTTTTTTGCTTTCTCAAACGAGGTTATTTGATGGATTTTCTTGCTCATACTTACATGATAAAATCCTAAATCAGTACAAATCACTCTTTCGATAGATTCGTCTCTTCCGTTGTAATCTGGGATAGCCTATATATCTGACCTTAAAATACCGAGCAATTGTTAGTAGTCTTTAGTATTCTTGACGCTGTATTTACTGTCAATAAGCTCTCACAATCCTTGCACAAGCCTATAACTGAGAATTGGGACTGTTAACGTGTGTGTACATATATTTACCTTTAAATCTTTTTATTTTATAAGTAAGGGTAGTTTAGTCTTTTTCATCTATTATGTTTACTGATTATAATTGTATATCATATATAAACATAGATTCAGCAGCCACGAGAAGGTCCTCTAGTTTGTTTAAGAAGTAAGGGGAGTGTCGGTAAAGTTTAAGGTGCGGACCCTCCAATTATTTTATTTTTTATTTTTAACACAAGAAAACCCTTAGTTTGTTAAAGGGGCATGAGAAGAGCCGGTAAAATTCAAGGTACTAACTCTCCAAATATATATATTTTTTTAATACAAGAAAATTAAAACACTAAAATAGAAGAAGAATAAATTTTGCAAAAACAAGAGAGCCGGCTAGCTTTTCACTGAAACCAAGTCTCTGGCAACATATGGGTCAAGTCTATAGTTTTCCATTATTTAGAGGGTGATGATGGATTGTACCAAATCTTTCTATCTTTCTATCTTTCCGACATGTCTGAACTTCTAGCATTTTCTAAAACTGAGATGGGCGGCTTCAGACACAAAAGAAGGGCCTTTTTTTGTCTTTTACTAATGCACTTGCAGCCACCAGTTTATTAATTCCAGCCACCAATTTCCCTGTGTGTATGTATAACAAATTTCAGCAGCCGACAGTTTATATTCTTGAATTTCCATGATTTGCTTTGGAGGACCACCTTTGACTGAAAAATTACACCTTTACATCAACATGGAACAGAGAAATATCACTTTGAAGATGGCACCCACACCTGTTGTCTCAATAAATTCCTGATTCTTGACGGCTAAATCACCAACTTTGATAAAGGCTGCTAATAAATAATTTTGGAGGGACGACAAATTGCTTCATGGTTTTCTTATGACTTAATCCAAAAAAAAAATAAATTCTTTTCTAGAAAAAAAGGCTGGTCAGAAAAAAAGTATGACTAGATGAGTGGCACAAGCCCGCTTGCCGGAAAACGGAAGCTTGCAAGTTTAACCCAAGATTAAGTTAAACCCGCTCTAATACCATGTCAAGAATAATGTAAATTGTATTATTATGGTCTTGTAAATATTACAAAGTAGAGAACTTTATTTATAGGGTTATAAATAACAATAATAGGAAAGAAACCTAATGGGAAAGATTGTGTAATAATTACACAATCAATTATTATGAAAAATAATCCTAGACAGTATTTCAATTTCAATATTTCATATCTTTAATTTCCCATATCTTTAACAATCACTTTAATTGCAAGCCAATGTGTACCAATGTTACTTTACAAATGATAAAAAATATTTTACACACTTATGTATATTTTTCAATCTACTTAATATTTGATTTTTTGGACAAATTCATACTCATATTAGTGTGTGTGTGTGTGTGTGTCGTTTTTATAGGTTAAACCCAAAATTTGAAGATGATTGATGCAAAAGAATATTATTTGGAGCATAAAAGGAACAAAAAATGCAAAACAAGGACCTATTTGAGGAGTATGTTTAGGAAAGTAGTTCAGAAATTTTGGTACGAATATCTCCACAGAGCAAATGATATGCATTGAGAAAGATAATTAAATTTTAAGTTCAATTCAAAAGCAGATCGCAATTCAGAATTGTTAGTCTAAAGCTATATGTGTTTGATTTTGAGGAACTAAACCTGCACGAAAACAGTGAATAGGAACCAAAACGCACAAAACTGGAAAGCAAAGACTCCTAAAGCCTAGCAACATATGTTGGCCAATAATATGGTTTCTTAATTGTGAAGTGTTTCAGCCTCAAACTTTGTGATGCAGGAGGATCCGAGTCGAGTGATGCTGATTTATCAGATAGCACGATGATGGCACTGAGATACCATGAGACGGCGAATCGACGCAAAGATGGAAAGTGAATCACAATTATTTCCTTAAAGATGGAAAGTGAATCGCAATTATTTCCTTAATTGGGGGAATTTGACGCGTTTTTGGTAATTTGGCTATAACTTTGGCTACGGTTATCGGAATCGCTATTATGACCCCAATCTGGAAAACTCTCTTTGGCGCGAACGTCGTGGGCATGAATTTTGAGCCCAAAATTTGCTATTTTCCTTTCCAAAATTCAATTTTAAGTTTTGTTTTTATTTATCGTAATATTCCGTTTCCCCCTTTTCCATATGTTAGGAAACTCGAATTGAGCCAAATTTTTGGCAACCTACTTCTTTTACTTAATATTTTATTCTAGTATAATTTCGAGATTTTACCATTTTTGGTAATTTTCCCATAATTTCGTATTTCGCAGCTATTTAACCTGGCTTGTGGGTTAATTTTGGTCATTCTGCATTACTAATAATATTGAGTTGATTTCAGAGTATTTTCTCTGGTTTTTTAGGCATTTTCTATCGTTTCTTTCTTGCGAATCATCTGCTACAACAAGCCAATAGGATAATCACCATCCTACCCGGCGTCAGTTGGTATCAGATCATCAACATCTTCTTGGAAGATAAATTCCATCAGTTATAATTGTTGGTGGATGTGGTCGTGGTCGTCGAGGGCAGGTTCCGATTGAGGAAGTCTCGCACCGTGATCGTAATATTCAGGATGTGACGATTGAACATTTACAGAGACAAGTTGCAGAGTTAACCCAACGTTTGACGGAGCAGGAGTTCGGTAATCATGATGTGGAGGGTCACGATTCCGATACCAGTTTCGAAACCCCGTATCACCATCGTGCTCGAGTTTGGGAGCATCGTGGATGGGAGGATCGTCATATGGATCTTAGGTTCAGAGTGGATCTGCCCGAGTTTTCTGGTACGTTGTAGGCTAAAGGATTTATTGATTGGCTGAATGAAGCGGAGCGAATTTTTGAATATAAAGAGGTTCCAGATCGTGTCAAAGTGAAACTGGTTGCCATCAAACTCAAAGGTAGAGCATCTGCATGGTGGGAACAGTTGAAGTGTTCACGGGAGCGACA